CTCTCTCTCTCTCTCTCTCTCTCTGTGTGTGTGTGTGTGTGTGTGTGTGTGTGTGTGTGTGTGTGTGTGTGTGCGTGTCACAGACACACACACACACTTACACACACACACACACGCACACATACACGAGCGTCGACGACGAGCGAAAACGAAGAGCGAAGAGGGGGGGGGACACTCACCTTGCGATGGTAGACGGCCAGCGAAAACGAAGATGACAGGCGGTTGGCCTTCACGAGCGCGGCAAGAAAAATGGCGGCGGCGCGTCAACAAGAACGCTGTTCGAAATTGAACTCAAATTTCCAGCGCCAAACTGCTGCAGGGGCATCACAGGAAGATGGGTGCTCCTTACGAGGGCATATGGCACATAGCCCAATGAAATGGGACCGCGGGTTGAGGGAGGGCGTCATGGAAAGTTGCCTCACTACCGACGGGGGCTTGCCAGAAAGATTTTCAGGCCCAGGGGCGCGGCAGGTATTTCGCATGTCCGAGGGGCGCGACGCAAATAAATGGAAAATACAGGGGCGCCAGACAAATTTTCCCAAAAAAAAATGCTTCACCAAATTTAAAATAAATAATAAAATGTAAAAATATTGTTTTTATTTTTATTATTTTAATTGTTTTTGGTCCGGCCGGGCAAGTGACCCCGGGCCACTCTGGTAGCCTAGGTGATTATAGTATTACGGGGAACTCCGTAGCAGCCACATCCGAGCTCAAGCCTCCAACAACAAAAACCATTTTCGCCTCCAGTACAGAGCTACGGTTTTGAAAATCGAAAGAAAAGACTTGCGTTGGAGATTTTCGGAAATGACAAAAACGTTTTCTTTAATCGAACAAAAGGCCATAACGGAGTACAGTTCAGTAAATCATAACCAAATATAAAAATGTTTCAGCCCCGCGTCCAAAATGACTTTGGATGTCAAAAAGGGGAAATTCGAATACGTCCAAAAACGGAAGTCTATCTAATCTTAAACTCTGAACCTCCAGAACCCACCTCCAACGAGCAAACTGGCACTTCAATCAACATTGTGAATTACTTTGGAATTAATTTCAATGAATTTAAAATAAATCTGAACTGTGACCCAAAACAATGTCAAACTCTCGCAATTAGGCGATAAGAAAAAATTAATCGCGAAAATGTAAGAAATCGAAACCACCGCCAGGAGCACGTCAAATTTCACAAAATCAAAACCTTCATCATTCCAATGATTGCCAATAAAAAAACAAGCACAAAGGAGGGCTATATTTCTTTTTCTATTTTATTTTATTTTATTTTATTTTATTTTATTTTATTTATTATCCAAGGACCCCAGCAGTGCATCTGCAAGGGTCCAATATCTCAGGAGACGTTCGACAAATTTCGTAGGAGGGGTATATTTCAACGATCCTAACCGCGATTTATTCCCCTACCTTTTTTGCTTCTCTCCTCTCCCTCCTTCTGCCCTGTCCTCCCCTTCGTTCAGAACTTTCTCCAAAGCTTCTCCCTCCTTTCCGCCGAAGTTTCCTCTGTGGTCGGTAGGGATCGCGACAGGGCGCGCCGCTTGACTTATCAGTATGAACCATTTCAACTTTTTTCGGAATTTCAAATTTCGAGATTTCAGTTTCGCAGTTTCCCAAACGAACGGCTGACTGACGACGATCATCATCATCCCCAAGTCGTCTGGATTTCCCCCTTTTTTTTTTTTTTTTTTTTTTTTTTTTGCGCGCGCTCGTGGAAGTCCAGCTTTGTAAAAAAAAAAAAAAAGGCGACGAAATGGCATTCCAACTGACTGCCCTTGCAGAGAAGCATCACCGCGCCTGTTTCGTATCTGATTGCCTTCCGGAAAATATACATGACATCCGTCAACGGATCGAAGCCTGGAAATCCCTCACAGCAGTCGTCCGCAGAGCAGATTAACATTTATCGAGTGAATAAGCATATCAACCATTTTACGAGCGATACGAAGAAGACGTTTTTGGCCCTTTCTCTTCCATTCCATCCCAAAAGAGTCGTCTCATCTGAAGTAAAACTTGCTCGATCTGATCATCTGAGCGTCCAGAATGCGTCACGTGGCCTGCAAAGGTCCTCTAATAATCATGAATCTCCTTTCCTCCCCCTTCCTTTCCGTCGCTGCCGCCATCGCCATCGCCATCGCCATCGTCATCGCCATCGTCATCGTCATCGTCGAAATCTCCGCTCCAAGGAGACGTATGCAAAGCAGCAGTCACGTCAGCCGCATCCGCAGAGCCCGGCGATCATCATGTTCCCCCTCCACTTCACTTTCAGAAACGTAAGAAGAGAAGAGGGATTGGGAAGGCGACCGAGAAAGAAAGGACACCCACAGAATTTCAAAAATGGAATTCCGAACTCGTGTTTGAAGTTGGAACAGAATTTCAAAAATGGAATTCCGAACTCGTGTTTGACGTTGGAACAGAATTTCAAAAATGGAAATTTTTTTGGAAACTGCCGAGAACTTTTGCAAAACGCAATCTCGAGATGCGGATGACTTCCGATTGAAACTTCGAAAATGAAATGAAACCTCCGATGATATAGCAGATGAAACATAAATTAATGAAAAATATATATATTAGTAAATTTAATACAAATATGTATATATATATATATATAGTCAAACAGATATATATCCATATATACATATATATCGTCAAATATATATATATATATCGTCAAATATATATATATATATGTATATATGATGAGTCGGTGAAACAACGAGGAAACAGTCTGTCACAGCCGCTCGTTTAATGTCCTCTTCTCCCTCTCTCCTGCCTACGGTTTACCGGGCAGCTCTGTTTGACGATACATATATATATCATAATGTGTGTCACTCGATCCCACAAAAAGACAACGCATGCATATGATGCTTTTGCATATTTGCCCTCAACTCAGGGGCTGGTCACACCTGCACTTATTCTTGACTTCATTTTGCGCAGAAAATCTAAACAACCCGTGAGGGGTCCAGGGCAGGGGAGGGGCCCGATTACGCGTACACTTCGAGAAACCATTCGCTGAGAACTTTTTGCGTAATCAAAATCCCTCCGTCTGTTTTTCACGTGGCAGTATGTCGATGGTGTGCGCCCCCACCTTACTTTCATCGCCCGCCACTTCATCATCGCGAACCGTCCGATCTCATATTGCCCTTCGGCTGCAATTTCCACGTTCGTTCGTTCGTTAGTTCGTTCGTTCGTCCGTTCGTTCGTCCGTTCATCGGGGCGCCACAGCGCGCTGCCGGGAAAAATTTCGCCGTATGAAGAACTACTGGGTGGGCGATGCGGGAGCGATCATCACACTCGCTATCGTGTTGGTTGCCTCTTGCCTCCGTGATGTCCAAAATCAAACCAACCCACCTGCGACCTCGAAAGCCAAGCGCAATTCCGCCGGAACAGTGGGGTGAGCTGGGTGACGACCTGTCAAGCCCCACGATGAATGAACTGCCACCGGCAGCCGCAAGCAGTCCACACCGTGGCGTACACAACTGTCCACACCGCCTCGCCACGCGTGGCCCACCCTCACAATAACAGCAGCACCACCGTCAGGTCTGCGGCTTGGCAATCAATCAATCAATCAATCAATCAATCAATGGAAAAAACAATCAATGGAAAAATCAATTCGACCTTTTTCGGGAAAACGATAGGAAATGCAGGTGTGAGCGGCCACTGACGAGCACAAAACAACTAGTGGGAGAGAAGAAAGAATGGAAAAAGAAAAAGAAAAAAGAAAAAAAAGACGGGAAATCTATTGAGCAGGGCAGAGTATTATCTCTACAGCTGACCGCGCTCAGCAGGCAGGCACGCAGGCCGGCCGGCAAGCAGGTAGGCGTCTGAGAAGCCGATGCTTGCGGGACACGTGGCGGGCGCCCGGGCGTTCGCATTTGTACCCCGCGCAGCCTGGAGCGGCAAAATTGCGACTGCAAACCGCATTTAGCAACGGACGGACATTGTTCCTTTTGGGAACTTTAAAGCACAATTACTGTATAATCAATCATCAAAGGAAACGTGCCTGCCAGCAGCTATACTAGTCAAATATAATTCGATAATTTCGATTCAAAATTATAAAGAATGAATCCTGTCGAGAGAAGTCTTTACGACAGAAACCGTCCAAGACGTCAAAAACAAACAAAGAAGAACGATCGCGCTTGGGAGGAGGTCCCCGACGATCCCGAGGACTCGCGCAGGTAGCGCAACTTGTCCGCCCGGCGAGTCGTGGGCTCCTCACAAAACCCATCACGAATTCTCCATGGGTGAAACGGATAGGGCATGATCACACTAGAAACTTTCGGAATGAATCAGGCCGCTAGAAATGGTCAAATGCGTTCTCAAGTTAACAAGTTTCCAGTGTGAGTATGCCCTCTCGAAGGTGGTTTCTGCATCCTGAAGGCTGTGATAAATTGTCGGCGGCATGTTTATGTTTTCAGGGGGGCAAAAGGAAAGGTGGAAGGGAACCGACGTCCCCCGAACGCAGCGCACGCACACGCTCATCATGAGTGTATTGGAACGGAAAGATATCTTCTATACATTCATGATGAGGGTGCGCGGTACTCGAGGAAGAAGACTGCGGTCTTCGTCGAACTAAAAGACTGAGCTACTTACTGGTAGGAGGAAAATCGACCAACAGACCGCACCGCACCTGCGTTGGTCTATTGACTGCGATTTCAAGCTAGCGATTTTTCACCCGAATGAAACGCCCGGTGATTATAGCCGTATCTGGACTGAAAAGTGCGCCAAATACGGCTACAATGACCGGGCGTTCTATCGCTGTGAACACGGTTGGGTCACGCTACCGACTGCGGCCGTATTACCCCGACCGAGTGGAACTAAACAGTAATTGAAGCTGTATTTGGGGCAACTGTCAGTCAGACAGAGTCAGCGATAATGACACGTGCGCGCGTTCTATAATTGGGGTGAAGACGGTGCGGTAAGACAGATAAGTGCTACTACCATGTTAACTTTTTGTGCTGCTTGTAAAGTAAAGTACGGAACTGGGTCTTGAACCCCCACCTATTGGCTTCAATCTAAGTGACTTTATCTAAGTGACTTAGCAGAGACATTCCGCTGTGCTATACGTTCGTGGTTAGAGAGCACGCAAACCATGAACCTGGTCTCGAAGACAACCGCGTCTTCGAGACTACAGCAATCATGACAATGTAACTTAGCGTAGACATAGCATCATAAGGGGCAAGCCCCACTGCTGCTATGTCCGTGTTCAGAAAGCATGAAGGTGACCGTAAAAGTGGCCACGTCCGTACTAACACAGCACAAAAATAGCACCGCAACGGTCAGGCCCTAATTCCATTCTTACTAGTCTACAGGCTACAGCGGCTTCGCCGTGAGTCCCTATGATCGAGCTATGGATTGCTACTTTCCAAAAACGGTAAACAAGAGAAAGGTGATCATCTTCGTTAGCTCCCTACCGGCTTCACCCGAATAGAACGCCTGGTCATTATAGCTGTATCTGGACTCGAAAGTGTACCAGATACGGATATAATGACCGTAGCCTAGAATTCCAAGTCCGAGGAAAGGTTTCGATGACTGTCTACTCTATGTACACGCGGGAGGCGCTACTGTCCGTCCGTCGCCGTAATGTCGGGAAAGGGGGGGGGAGAGGTGGAAGGGGAATGTGGAAGAGAGGGTTTGGGGTGCTTCTGGGAGGGGTTTTGGAAGAGATTGGAGAGGGGTTTAGGAGCGGCTTGTGTAGTAGGCTGAGGGAGAAATTTAGGATTCGAGCGGGAGATGCTTGGGTAGAATGGGCCGGGATTTTGGCAGGGTTTGGGAAAGATTTCGGCGGTAGTTTTGGGGAGGGAGTCCGGATCTGAGAGCGTCTTACGTGGCATTTGGGCGGGGCAGAGAAGGGATCTATCTCTCTGAGGGAGTCGAGAGCGCTTTGATTGGAGTCTTGAGAGGAGGAACTTTTTCAGGGAAAGCCGGAGCTTTCGGAGAGATTCGATTTGATGAGAGATTCGATTTGATGAGAGTCGAGATTTGACGTGCGGCGGAATTTCGGGATGCGACAAAAGTGGACAGGAAGGGGTGTGTGAGGACGGAGGAGGGTGCCTTGATAAGAGGCGCGCCGGTCAGGTGGAGGAGGCGGCAGGGAGAACTGATTGAAGATTGGAAGGTTCCATCCACAGGTTCAACGGTCAAGATTAATAAACATGGACGGCAGGATTTAGACGCACTGCGGTCGGGAAGGGGAAAGAACATCTACGCGCGCTACGGGCAACGGTGTGGCAGGGGGGGGAAGTTGTTCGGTCTGGTAGCGCTAAAAGAAGTAAGAAGGCCAAAAAAAAAAAAAAAAAAGTTATCGCCACCAAGACCACTGACTGTAATGACTGACATCGGTCCGGATACCGATGCGACCCACGTTTCCCCCGATCGATGTGGAAGGTGCATTCTGTATCATACAGATTCCCTGCCCCGACCCTGCTGCCTGATGAGACCCGATGGTCGTCGAACGATGGGAACCGCCATATCCTCCGGCCGAAGCAAGCATGGCCTGACTGAACACCATAGCCGGGTTTGGCAACGTCGATGTTTGAGACGTCGCGGTCATCGACAGCTGCGACATAGAACGCTGGGTCGAACTCGTGGTCCAGTCGAGGAGCGATCCGGAAACAGACGAGCTCTGCCATGATTGCTTATCAAGCATCGTCGAGCCCGAGTTTGATGACGTGGGACCTTGCCAGTAGGCAGAAGAGGATTGACGCTCCTTCTGCTGCGGAGGCAGCGGCGGCGATGGCGCCGGCTGGTGGTGCTGCTGGCGATGGTGATCGTAATGGTTATGATGCGTCTTCGGATCATCGTGCTGCTGCCGTGGGGAACGGAATCTACCATAGCTGTGGCTATGGGAAGGAGGAGAATGATGAGTACGGTCGTGGGCGGAGCTGCAAGGTTCCTGGTAGTAGCTGTAAGCTGCGTACTCCTGGTAATTGTCATGATGACGAGGCTGGAGGTAATCGTGAGGAGAGACAAGATGGCTGTCGGGATCGCGATCCTCTTTCTCACCCCACAAGATCGGCGGTGGAGAGAGAGGGAGTGCATCCAACGACAGAAGCTCGCAGGTAGATTCAAATTCGCCTACATTCTCTTCGTCCTCTTCGTCCTCCTCCTCCTCCTCCTCCTCTTCCTCCTCCTCCTCCTCCTCCTCCTCCTCCTCCTCCTCCTCCTCCTGCTCATCGTCTTC